CCGCCGCAGCCGGCGGGCCGCCGCCGCCGCGGCGCTCGGCGGCGGGGCGCCACTCGAGGGAGCTGTCTATGAACGAGAGGGAGCCCGTGACGCCAGACGCGGGGCCGGCGGCGCCGCCGTCGCTCTTGTTCAGGTAGAAGTTCTTGAACGCGAGCTCTGCAGTCAGCGGCGGTTGGCGGCGGTTGGCGGCGGTTGGCGGCAGTTGGCGGCGGTTGGGGGGGTTCGACGGGGCCGCTGGGCGGGGTGGCGAGGGCGATCGTGGGCAAAAGCCGGGTGGCAGCATAGTGATGTGTTTTCGCCGGCCGGGCTGCTGTTGCGGGCGTCTCAGCGGCGGCGATGCAGGCGCGAACACGTGGTTTGAATTCGGCTTGAGGGGCGATGCGCGGCGCGCCAGCCCCAATGACCAACTGCTGGGCGCTTGCAGGCAAGCCCCGGGGTTCAAAGTGCATGCCGGAATGCTTCAACTCACCGTTGGGCCCGACCAGTGTGAAGTTTGCCGGCATGTCCCCTAGCCGCACCGTCGGGCCCAGCCGCAGCAGCCCCTTGACGGCGGCCGCGCCGCCGTCGGCGCCGAGCAGCGAGGAAACGAGTTCGCCCGACAGAGTGAGGTCCTCAAATTCCACCACACCCTGGGGGCCCTGCAGGTTGCAAAACAGTTGTTGGGAGCGTGTCAAAAAGATGACGCTAGGGGCGGGAGTCGAACCTGGGTGGCACGATTGGTACTGTACGAAACCGCGCGAGTCGGCAGCCGCCGTCTCGACGGCTCAATGAGGGATGTGCTTGCAGGCGTGGCGGGGCCGGGTACAGGGTCGGGGGAGATGAGGCCCGTGGGCTCCGAGGGTGGGAGGGGAGTGCACCAACATTACGTGTGTGTGTGTGTGTGTGTGTGTGTGTGTGTGTGTGTGTGTTAAGAGAGAGAGAGAGAGAGAGAGAGAGAGAGAGAGAGAGAGAGAGAGAGAGAGAGAGAGAGTGTGTGTGTGCACGCGCGAGCGCGCGGACTCACCAGCGGTACCAGTGCTGACACGACGGCCTGCAGGCCCTGGCCCCCCGCGGCCTGGCCCCGCCAGCCCAGGCCCGTCATGATGATGTCACCATTGAAGATCAGGTTGCCCGCCACCTGGACGACACCCTGGGGGTCGGTTCGAATGAGGAGCAGAGGGGCGTTTATGATGGCGAGCTTTTCAAAAGGATGTGACGACCTGCATGAAGTCTCAAAAAATGCACTAGGGGCCAACTATTGGATGCTGTTTGACAATGATGCGAGTTTGAGTCATTCACTGAGCTCTTGCTTGGGTCAGCGGCCACACGGTGGCCCTGTTTTTCAGCCCATCCCAACGTTTGGGGTGTCGTAGCGCCGCACCTGCGCGTTGCCCCAGTCTATGGTGTACAGGCCCTCTGCGCCGCCACCAGGATGGCACGCGCGGACCTGCGCGTTAGAGTGTGAGGATATGTGACATTGAATGCATGAATGTCTGGATGAATGTGTGTGTGTGTGTGTGCGCGCGTTGCAAGGCGGCCAGGTCTTGGGTGTGTGTGCGTGTGTGCGACGGAGGAGGGGGGGATTGAGCCAGCACGCGAGCTTCACGCTCCGCGACTCTGCAGCAGCGAAGCGCAACGGGAGGAGGCGCCCGCCCGGCACCTCCGCGCAACACGCCCAACGCGGGCCCCGGGCAAGCAAGAGCGAGGGACGCCTGGACCCGCAAAACGAACAGAAAGCGTGCGGCGGCAGCACCCTTGCCGCGCTCTGTTCTCGCCCAACCCTATGCCCCGGCCAACTCCCTGGCCGCCCTGATTCCCTGGCCCCGCCCAAAATCACTGCCCCGGCGCAACCCTCTGCCCCTGCCCAACCCTCTACCCCCCACCGAATCGGCCGCTGCCGCCCGGTTGCTCGCCCCCTCCCCTCCGCACCTCCACAATACGGTTGACGGTTGCCGCGCCGACCGGTGTGGACGGGTCGATGCTGATCGACGACACCAGCTGGATGTGCCTGGAGGCCAGGGTGGGGGGGAGAGCAGCTTGAGGGGGGCGGGCAGTGTACATTGCAGGCGACGGTGAAGAAAAGAAAACAAAGAGAAAGGGTGCGCTGCGGTGATTGTTATGAAGTTCGCGCGACGGTGAGGGGAGGTGCTCTTAGGCCCTGCGCTCAGAACCGTGCTTTGCCGCTAAGCTGTGCACGCCCGCGAAGCGGTGCGCGCCCGTCAAACAAATCAAGAGTGAGGGGACTAGGGAGTTGACGGCCTGACTGTCAGAGGCGGCGGATGAGGGGGTGGGTGCCGCACGCTCGCCGGGTCATGACATCGTGCCGGATCACGACAGATCAGATCAGCCCAGATCATGCGGTTCGAAAATTCGAACGGGCCGCACCTGGCGGTCACGTTGTTGAGCTGGTCCAGCAGCTGCTGGCCCGTGGCCACCTGAGCCACGCTGGCCGGGTTGGCGTTGCCCTGCGATAGTCGTGTGAATGGCGCGTGCCAACGAGACGTGCGTCACCGCGCGACGGCAGGAGGGGGATGCCGGAGCTGCCATTGACGAGTCTGGCGGACCGCTGCCCAAGCTCGCCACCCTCTCCAGCGGGCGCGACTAAGGACGCTGCTCAACCCCCCCTCACACACCCACACACTCCCACACCCGCACACTCCCACACCCACACACGTACATCCGCACGCCCCCACATACACACACACACACACACACACACACTCACACACATCCACACACACACACTGACAGCACGCCGCCGCCGCGCACCTGCAATTCTGAGCCGTGGTAGCAGGCCGTGTAGGTGGTCTGCTCCACCGTCACGTTGCTGAACACCCACTGCGCCACGGCGGTGACGGCGGTGTCGGGGCGGGACCAGGCAGCCCAGCGCTTGGAGTCCAGCTGGGAGGGTATGCGGCGTGATGTGTGTGTGGTTGTGTGAATGTGTTTATGTGTGTGTTTGTGCTTGTTTGTGAGTGTTTGTGTGTGTTCATGTGTGTGTGAGAGAGAGAGAGTGAGAGTGTTTGTATGCGTGTATGAGTGTGATTTTGTGCGCCGATGTGCATGTTTGGGACAACGTGCATGTGTGAGGAATTCTACATGTGTGTGTGAGTATGTGCGTGTGTGCGTGTGTGCGACCCCCTGCTCTTCACGCAAGCCTCACCTTCAAGCCACAAACGCAAGACCCAACCACACGCCAGGGCCAAATCACGACACGGGCAAGACCCCCCAACCCGCGCATCGCCAACACGCGGTACGCGCACGCGCGCGGGCGCGTGGGCACTTAGCGCGCGCGCCCTCACATTCCAAGTCTTAATTGTGAACTTGGTTGCGTCCGGCGCCGGCGGGCGCCCGCCCGAGTATGTCGGCTGCATCTGCGGCACCTCGGGCGCAAACTCGGTGCCGGACGGCAGCTTGGAGAGCGCCTTGATGAGGCCCGCGGTGTCCGCGACACGCATCTGTTTTCAAAAGGAGAGAATCGGCAGAGTTGGTCGGGTGTTCGGTCTACTGGCGCGCTGCATTGAGGGGGCATAAGGGATGCCAAGTCACTTCTCGTCGGCTCGAGACTTTCGGCCCCCCTTGAAGCGCCTTGCCGCGTAGGCCATGACGTCAGCCAGGGCGCGCCGCGCCGCCGGGCCAGGGTACAATCCGGAGGCCTTTCCCATGACTCCCCCAGTCCCTGGCCCCCCGCAGCAGAGAGCTGGAGGGACCGCGACGGCCCTGCCATCGGGCCCATCGCAAGCCTCGTCCCATAACATCCGGACCCAGTGCGGAGCGACGACCGAAAGCAACGAGCAGTCGGCGGCGAAGGCGGCCGCGAGGCCTCAAAATGGTCCAGTCGTGGGGGGTGCGCACCAGGGTGTTGCGCTGCGCGATGACGCCAGCGCCGACGGCCTTGAAGGCGCTCAGCAGCAGGGGGATGTCATCCGGCCAGTACGTCATGTTCTGGACCTTGGAGCCCTTGGGTCATGTTTGGGGG